TAATGTTCTTTTTAGCAACATCATATGACCCCTTTAAAACTTCTAATAAATGTAAATTCTAAAGGTCAAAATTTTTTAAAAGTAATAGACAATTGTTGGCATACTCTAAAAATATAATGTGAATATAATACGCTAAGACAATAATGTGTATAGCATAGGCCAGATGATTTATGCAGAATTTCTCCATTCAATCACAGTTCTGTCTAGGAGAAACAAATGATATATTAAATACATTTCTTTTATGAATTGCTTGCTATGAAGAGTGGTCAGAGAAAGAGTTTTCTTAATCATGCTTAATCAAGCTTAATCATGACATCTTTTGTAGAGGGCCTAAGTCTGTGATAAACTTTAAATGGCGATGTGATATGTCCACTGGTTTGAATTTGATAGATAAATGGACAGTAATATTTGATTGGTAGTAATTTTACTTAGCAATGCAGAAATGTGTTAAAAAAACTTATGTACTTTTTAGGATTTAGAAATCGAATGTTATGTTGGTCCATTTCTCTTCACAGTGTTGCTTCAAGCCAATCTTATAATTTACTGTAGCTGTCTCGTATGAAATGCCACAACAAGATTAAGTTGAAGGCTTTGACTTGTCAAAGCACAACAGTTCTTCTACTTCAGCTTTGCAATTCCACTTGAATATTTCCTTGTTTATGATCTTTTTGTGTGGTATGACCTACTTTCTATAATGCATAAGCTCATGGATAGACACATTGGCATTTTCCTGTACAATGTATTACTATAGTCCACAATTAATCAATTCTTTAATGACCACAAGCCATCTGGGTTCTCAGGCTGAAAAAAACTGATATTTCTACCACCAGATGTCATTCTTTGAAAGTAGCATTTGGTTCTACTAAAAATAATTTGATTTGAATGCTATGATTTTTCCAATGATATCCTCCCATTTACACTTGTGTTTACTGTTCCCCATAAGGTGAATTCATGAACACAAAAACAATATTGAATGTCTTCCGTTTGGAAATGATCAGTGGATTTATTCAGGCCAGTGTTTTTAATAATGAAGTTGTGATCTTTACACACAGACACAAATTTGTTTCTGACCAGTGCTTTTCGTTAGCTACTTACTAGTTACCTCAAATTTAGGCAAAATGAATGCAGGAATTTTATCATTTTAATGGGTTCAGCACCTTTTTCACACCATCACGAAATGCAAAAATTGCTTCGAATAAATTTAAAATGGCATGTTCTGGCTTCTGAATCCTAATCTCTGACTTGCATATTGATTTTATATCGGGTTGCAGTATTAGGAAAATGCAAATGACTATTAGAATATGAATATTTGAAGTACGCATGAAATTTACAAACAAGTTACAACAGCAGTAACAAACTAATGCAAAATTAGTCGTCCTTGAGACGATTCCACAAGCATGTGGAGTTAGGCTTGTCATGCTCGTTTCATTTTCAAATGTAATTAAACAGATCCTCAGTGTTGCCCTCTGTGTCATCTCACACAGAGGGCAACACATAAATCTGCATACTCTTACATATGCATGAACAAATGCTAAATCCCTGCATACATAATCAAATGCCTGTAACTATCACTTTGTTATTTTTGAAAATTTTGTCCTATTGTTTTTCATCTCCATTAGATTATACCTAAAGACAACGAGACGAGGTCCACACTAATGTACAAATACATCGTCCACGAAGATTCAGTGCCCCTTAACAACAATAATGTCATTCAGGAGGACACATATGAGTGGGCACTCAAGAGCTGGTCCCAGTGTTCAAGACCTTGTGCTGGAGGTAACGTTCAACTCTAACAATCTATTAGCTCTTCTATGTTACTCAAATATGTACATTTATTTGAATAGCACTTTTCACAGTACACAAATCATGATGTAAAAATTTATAATATCTTAAAATCTGCATGCCTTATAGTCACATTTAGCGGATTATTTTTGGGCAATACTATAGTTTACAATTTGCAATAATTAATGCAATCAATTGTATCCAGTTGTATATAATAATTCAAATCAATATTAATGTATACGTCACATTTTTGACATAACCTATGAATATATATTCAATTCATTATAAATTATTTTTAATCATTAGTTTATTCATTTTTACTTTAATAATTGTGACACCCAAGAAAAAACATAAGGGTCTATTGGGTTTATTGAGGTGGATTTAGTTCTGGTAGCCCAGTCTGGTAACATTACGCATCATGGTTCTTTTGGTTCTTTCATTTTATTTAATCTTTAGGATTCCAATACACCAAATATGGGTGTCGTAAGAAAGGTGACAACAAAATGGTGCACAGAGGCTACTGTGACATCAACAAGAAACCCAAACCTATTCGAAGAATGTGTAACTTACAGGACTGCACACAACCACAGTAAGTCGCATTTAAACAGTTTTTAACACAGCTCACAATAACTGTAGTCTTTTTCACTGAAATGAAAGCTAGAATGGGTTGTCATGGTACAGTATGGGATTTCTTATTTCATCATATTTAACTCAGTATAAACATCGCTAAATAAAGTATAAGCACTCATGCTTCCCCAATTCTAGCTTGGAGAGCTCTGAGCTGGATTTTGATTGCGTTATACCATTGGGTATTCTTGCTTCATTCATCTCTCTTATCAGAAGCTAAGAAGAAATCTCAGCGTGTGATTGTGCATATCTTTCATATCTGGGAATAGTTTGCCTCAGCCTCATGACTTTCTTCCAACCTTTCTGAAAGAAAACCAGAAATATAGTTGTAGTTGCTTTTGTTTTGTTTTTATCCAACGTGTGTCCATGACTGGCTTGTATCATTAATGCATGGAATGTATATATAAGAATTATTAAGACCCTTCTGCATCAACCTACACAAATCACTGAGCGCACATCATCTCAGCAAATCTTTTTCATTTAAATATGCACAGTAGGTTGTAAATGCTGTATATTTTTATCACAACATCACAATCCCACTGTCTCTCCACCTGTTAGCTTTGAGTTTTTCAGTACTCTGGTTTGAAGTTCTCATAAAGAAAAATAAAACACATTTAAGTTTTTAGTGTTCTCTCAAGCAGATATTCTTCTTTTATCAGCCATAGCCATCTGTCATATCAATTTATATGCTCTGCACTTTCTGCTGTTCATAGGCTTATAGTCTTCACAACAGATCCAGCTGTTTAATAATCATATCACTACTTGAAAAATGTTTCTATGAGACCTAAGTTTAGTTTTTTTGTCAATGGAAATTACATTTTTACTTCTGTATAGTCTTCTAGATGAATTACACTTGAACTGTAAGGAGCTGTTGTAGTGTTTGATTTATATCCATTTATATAGTGGCTGAGTTTTGCAGTCTATCCCAATTGTTTGTTCAATGGTTACATGTGTGCAAAAGTTTTCCTTGTTTTACTGTATGTCTGGAAAATTCATGGGCATCATTTTGTTTTAAAAAGAGATTGGGACAGTTGAGGTTTTGCAGACATGCTGGTTGTGAGGTCACAAAAGGCATGGATATGAATACATTAATTAGGTTCATCTTCATATTTCATCAGCTATTCTATATGCAATTTATAGCATCTACATTAAGCACTTGAGCAGTCAAGGGTATAAACAGTGTCTGTGAGAGCAACATTTCGATGAAGCCACATTATTACATTCAAATAACAGAATAGGTGTCAGGTTTGGGTGAAGGGAAGAGGCGAGGACTCAATATGCAGAATAAATGTGCTTTTTATTAACAATAAAATAAAACAACTAAACAAACTACCCAGAGGAGGAAAATAGGCAGGCAGTCCAGGATAGGGCACAGCAAGGCAAGGCAAGGCTGGACAAGACAGGAACCACCATGGGTACATTCGACAACGAACTGGCACAGGACTGCAAACACAAGAAGAATAAATAGGGAGCAAACAAGGAGGTTAATGAGGGAGACACAGGTTGAGCAACTGAACCAATTATCAGATAACAAAAAGGGTGGGGTCAAGACAAAAGACATGAGAGCACGGCACACAGAAACAAACCAAACAAAATCCATGTGCTCACACAAAACAAAAAATCAAGCACAAGCACATGGCCAGCAAAACAATCACAAGCCATAGGCTCGATCAAAACGCACTCAAAGCCGCGCGCTCCCATGAAAAAAAGACATGACAGGAGTGTCAGTGCTCTGTCACAAAACCATGAATAAACTAGACTGAAGTGACAGAACCTTGACACTAGGTCTACTCATAAGTTGGAGTGAATCTCTTTTGCAAATATGTTTTTATCAAGATATACTCAATCTCTATTGGAGTACAAGTCTCTGTATCAGTGGCTTTTCAGCATTTCAAAATCCACTTGTATTAAGAGGGAATAAAGTGGATGCCACCACCTGGTAACAGATGGCTGAGCTTTATAAATCATATATTTGAGACTTGTAGATATGCTAAATGAAAGAACATATTGTGGTAGATGTTTCAAATGAGTAATCAGTTCCTTTGATAAACTAGCATCAGAGTGACTAGCGCTGTAGAGCTCCACAGGACACTTTTAATGGGATTAGAATTTGAGCCTCTGATGTGTGATAGTCAATTGTTTACTCTCCCACGTCATGTTCCATATTTCATGCTGAGAGGAAAGCCACCACAAGCTTTATACTTTCTCAAAGATTATACTTTTAATGTGGCACAGGAATGAAAAATCTGTGCCGATTGAGGCATGATTATTCATTTATATCTCTTAATACTTTTGAAAGTGAACACAATCACCATAAATAGGGTTTGTAAAGGTGCACAATTGAATATTTTTAGGGGTAAAAATGACAACTATAGAAATGTAATGGTTAACTACAGGATCTGTTGCAAAATCATTTCATTTTCCACAAGCTGAACTGTTGCTGGAGTCAGCTGTTGTGACTCCTTCCTATTTCGATTCTGATATTTCCTTGGTGTGCCCATCATTCACAAGGGCTCCGTCTCCTTCCCATCTGTGGAGGATAAGATTGTGCTTGCAGTTCTTCCCGCATTTCCCTTTTCCCATTCCCTTTGCATTCACTTGTCCTAGTTTTTTTTTTTTTTATCTTCTTCACTCTTGAAGCTGTCTCTGCAGGTGGTGGACATTTTAGTTTCCCTTGCCTCCCTATTAATAAGTAGTTTTTTTTGCTGGAAAATCTGTGGAAAAATAATTCAATATAGTAAAATGTGTCAACAAAAACACCCATATCTTAATGCTAAAAGCATTAATTAAATGAACTTAAATATTTAATAAACATGCAGGAGTTAAGGGAATATATCTATTCTGCAGGTCAGCCAGCAGCTTCGTATATAGTCTACATTCTCCTCACTCTGCTGCTGAGGTTTTGGTGGCTTGTTTTATTAACAAGCTCGGTAGAACATCTCTATTCTGCCCAGCATGGTCTTCAACAGGCAAAAAAGGTTAATTCACTCAGATATGAAAAATCCTTCATTTACTCACCCTCATGTTGTTCCAAACCTGTATATAAAAATGTAATGTATACATGGAATGTACAACCTATTATAAAAAAAGTCATTTTGTGCACCATGACAGATAGAATGTCATAAATGTTTCAAAGGATGTGAAGGTGAGGACATGGCTGCACAGTCTTCACTTCATCTTATCAGTTACATTTCTGTTTAAGCCACGATATTCAGCAGGCAAACAGGCTTTTCAAAAAAGCACCCTAAATCCATCTTAAACACTCCAGTATGGTAAATTAATCCAGCAAGTGAGACACTTTCTGGGGTACGTAAACGCCTCATGTTCTTTAGTTTCTAATCAAATCTTTTAAAGAATGACCCATTGACATCCTCACATATGTATTTACCTGAAAAAAGCATTGACCTGCCTGTAATACGTTGACTTCCTGACCATGTCATGTGGCTGTTTATTGTATTAAGCACGTCATTGCAATCAAGCATGATGCTGGTAATCACATGAACACTAAAAGCACTTCGGGCTATGCGCGTTACGATAGCAGGAGATAGCTAGAAGAGCAGCATTTTGCATTAAGTCATTAAAAATTATTTTTTACAATTAATGTGACTTTTCATTTTAATCTTTCAACACAACTATTATATCTAAGCAGATGTCAGTGTATGTTCAAGGTGTATAACATAAGAGCAGTAGTACAGGCTGCACTGTTTAATTATGCCAGTTCACACAGGTCAATGATGCCTCTGCTGATGCACCACATGGACGAGTTATAAAGTCACAAACGAGGCGTAAATGACCTTCTGTAGTGCTCTCTGTTACACAGGCTGGTTCAGTCGCTGAACATGTTCCTCATTTCCACAAGTGTATTTATTGTGAAGGGGTGGCAGGTCAATTATAGTCAGTAGTTTTTACTTCACTCTTCTCTCCAGCGTAAACTCTGGTGGGTCTACAGTAGTAATTCTCCGATAAATATGGCATCTATTGTTCATCATAAAAACTGATTAAAAGGGATCACCGAAAATGAAAACTGTATCATCATTTACTCACCCTCATGCAAAAAATCTTTTCAAATTTTTATGTTGACTTGCTGCATTGAAAAAAAATTCAGTTCAACTGAAGTGCCAATGTGTGCCAATAATTGAATTGAGCCAACTGAAAATGTTCAATACAGCAAGTCAACATACAGTTTTGAATTTTGAAATCTTTTACGGTGTGTCATTCCAAACCTTCATTACTGTTTCTTCAATGGAACACAAAAGATACTTTGAAAAATGCTGGTGATCAGACAGTTTTGGTGACTTCTAGATGTGTGGACAATAAAGCCACTGATACATTTCTCAAAATATCTATTATGATTTATTCTTAATTGTAAGATTGGTCTTGAGGTTTATGAAAGAGCTGCAGATGCGTCCCACTTTTAGTTCACCATGCCAAGTGTTTACATTCTCTGATCACATTCTGAGTGCTAAATGAACCATCTGATTCATTTTATACTACACAGATTTGTTAGCAGCTGGTCTGTCAAAGAAATAAGCAGGACATGTGGTGTGCAGTTTTATGGTCATGAAATAATGGGACCGACCTGTGAATGGTAACACTAGTCAGATAGATAAGGATAATTGAAAACTGTAGAGAATTTTTTTAGAATCAGAATGATTAACATTTTGAATGTAATCAGCATATGTATTTATATATTTCTTTACAAATTCATAGTTTATCATTTTCGTTTCAATTTCATAAAAAATAAGAGATTATCACTGTGAAGAGAATAGGCCTAGTTTAATAAAAACAAAAAACAAACAAAGAATAAATAAATAAAAATAAATTAGTTTGTGATAATTGTTTGTCTGATGATTAGCTTAAAGTGATAATTCACCCAATAATGATTCTGTCATCATTTACTCACCCTCAAGTTGTTACAAACTCAAACAGGTTTGAAACAACTTGAGGGTGAGTTAATGACAGAATTTGAATTTTTGGTTGAACTATCCCTTTAAAGGTGTGGTATCATATACAGCTGTTGAGATGGTATTCTCATATGAAACTAAGCAGAGGTTTGGACATGGAAACATTATTCGATACATCACAACTTAGCAAGCAGATTTCATTTGTCTTCTGACAGATGGATCACAGAAGAGTGGGAATATTGTACTAAAACCTGTGGGAGCTTGGGATACCAAATCCGCACCGTGCGCTGTGTCCAGTTCCTTCATGAAGGCACAAACCGCTCCATCCACAGCAAGTATTGCAGCGGGGAAAAGCCTGAGATCAGGAGGCCATGTAACAGAGTGCCCTGCCCTGCCCAATGGGGAACCGAGGCCTGGTCAGAGGTATGTTTTTCTCAGGTCACATGATGTTTTGTTGCTATGAATACAAAAGCGTTAGCTGTCAAGGTTTTTGAGAGTAGCGTATTGGGAAAGTGAGAAGATTGGTTCAATTCTATTTTGATATTATCTGCAAGCAATTTTCAGTGTAATTGGGCTTGAAATCATTGTGAAACTAAAAAAATCTAATTTGAAGAATGTTTAATACATCCTAGGATTTTTTTGTTTTGTTTTTTAGAGTGTCAAGAAAATAAACAAATTAGGGCTTATTTCCTTTTAGTTTGTACTTTTTACCTTGAAATTAGAACCATTCTCTTTCACTGATAATGTCTAAGCGAGTCCTGACATTTCCATTGATTTTAAGTCAGTAATGATTTTGATTCACCAAGAGAATTTCATGACAGTAACCTCATTACCCAGCTGTGTCAGAATGTGAAGCTAAAATCCAGGCTTTGAGTGTTTCATTGCCAGAAGACTTTTGAAGATTTGAAATATTATGCAGAGATATCAAGCTCAAGCCAGTACGCTGCAGGTCGGTGTAATCCTCTGTTGAACCAGTCTATGTGGTATTGATTTTGAACCCAAGCAAACGGATTCAACAGCAAGCTCTGTCAATGAACAATGAGTCATTGATTAGGCTGACTGTAAACTCATAAACTGGACATTAGGCGCATACCAGTTTGCATGCTCATGCACTCTATGCCAGTTTGTAGTATAAATAGTGTGTTCACACTGAAAATTCCAAGAAAACAAATGGCACTTCAAATAAATGCACTTAATTAACCGAAAAAAAAAAAAAGTTTGTTGGAAACTTCATGTACTTAATTGTCACAGCTTTTCTTACATACGGGAAGGGGAGAAGCTATCAGAATCTGATGCAAAATAACTTCATAAAATTCATACACTAGATCAGAAGATCCCAAACCTTTTACTGAGAAGAGCCAGAAATCAAACTTGATTGAGGGCCTTGGGCCAAATATAAATCTGGCTTTATATTCAACTGTATTATATTAAAAATGATGTTATAAAAATGAAATTTGCTTAATAAAATAATAAAAAAAGGTCATCACTGGTCAACTTTGGCCTGCAGGCCCCTGGTTTCTGTTTCTGCAGTGTCACTCTTTGTAGCCCCGTTTACATTGACATCTCATTGGTCTAAAGTTCTGCTCCTCATAACTGTACATTGAACATCAAATATCTTCTGTCTGACTGTGATTGTGTCTTGGATAAACAAATCGCATTGTGCTTGTTTAGGACACAGTGTTCGATGTTTGAAGTCATATATATGTAGTTTGTAGGTTCTCCTCAACTTCTTTCTTTTCTCTCAGTGCTCGGTGTCCTGTGGAGAGGGTGTGGCACGACGTCTGGTCACATGTCGCATTGGAGATCAATGCACCGGTGAGAAGCCTGAGTCACACAGGCCCTGCAGGCCAGGACCCTGCCATGGTAAGACAACACAGACACGCCATTGCAAACTCTGAAAGCCAAAGCAGAGAATTGGTTTAAACAGAGAGCAACACGGGGACAACAGTCTGCATTCATTAAGCGATTTTATGGAGTCTTGAACGGCTGATCTGTTCATGTTGTTCATTCAACAAAAATAAGTCTATTGAAAGAGAATGGAAAATATAGCACAATGCACAAATTCATCTGCATTGATGACATTATTCATGGTGCTCTTAACCACAGTCAGTTTCCCAGAATGCTTTTGTGGTCTGTGAACTTCTCAACTGCTCTCTGGAGAAGCTTGTTTACCTTGTCTCAGTTGTCTGTTGAGAACTTTTATTTAGTCATGCATTACGTATGAGAAAGCTATTAATTCGATCACATAATGCCTACAATCTGGAAATGAACATGAGTTTTGGCATTGTTTCATATTCATAAATCTACTCTCTTTCAACATTTCTTCCCAAAACCAGTCGCATTTCCGAACCCCATGAGCTAGAAATTGTACATTTATCTTAGTGATGAATGCAACATGTTTTACTGCCATGATGTGTAGTGCCTACAGCACAGAAAAATCACAGTTTCTTTGCAAACATGAAAGCCTAACTTTATTCAAGAGAACTCACTGCTTTCGAGAATTTTCCTCCAATCTTTTATTGCTAACGCTCAGCTGGTCAGCCTTATTTGTTAGAACACAGCAGACATCACTATGAATAGCACTTTCTTTATATCTGCTTGCATGATGCTTCCTCTAATTCCTCTTTAATGCCTTTACCCGCACCTGGATGACATCCATCTCAGTGGAAGGTTAACAAAACACCTACCCTTTACAAATGGCACTCTTGCGGCACACTGCTTAACTTTTCAACTGCGTACAGTATAAAGCAGGACTCCTTAGGGAGTTGGAGGCATTTAGCTTCTTTTCAATTCTAAAAGAAAAACTCGTTTGTGCTTCATCTGGTGACAGCAATCTATAAACCAGCTTCAACTGGAATGGCTCTTTTAATGACTTACATTAATTGAAAGACCTCATGACTGCTGCATTTGTTGTGGGCTTTTTCTTTTGTTTTGATTAGAACAGTGAGAGGAGAGCAGAATAATTAAGTATAGCTGAGGGGATCAGGAAATGATGCAAGTCCGAGTGAGCCACACATAAGTGTCACAATGTAATCTACAGTTACAGCATTTACTCCACTGATTTATCACTAATTATGGAGACTAGAGGGAAAGTTCACCCAAAAATGTGGTCAACATTTACTCACCCTCGTGTCGTTCTAAACCTGTAGACCAGAGCGATAAACACTAGTACACAAGCAATAGGGAAAACTGCATTCTGACATACAATTTCCTCATAGTCACACAGCTGGTTAGGAGCTATGAATACTATGTGTGATAATTAACCTGCGCCAGTCTACAGATGAGCGTTCACACACATACAATGGTATTCAGTAGGGTCACACTGTAAATCTTTTATTCAAAGTCTAATTTAAACATTAAAATAAACAAAATTAGAAAAATGTAAAAAGCAATTTATGAAGAAATGCTTCAGAAAAAATAAGAAATAAGATTCTGCACTATTTGTGTGATAATCAAATATCAAAATCAACAGATTTTTATCTGAACATTAAAAAAAAGATTATGTACTGTATAAAAACAGCATGTATTCAAAACATATATTTTAATGACTCAGAAAAGAATAACTGTCTGGCCAAATGATTTGTCATAGTAGTACAACACACTGTGTGTGTATATTAGCATCATTTGTTTGCTTTTGGCATCTGAGGAATCTGACATCAGACGTAACACAAAGAACGGCCAGGATAATGCTGAAAAAAATGCCTTTTGTGTTTCACAAAAGGAAGAAAGTCATACTAATTTGGAATGGTATGAGGGTGAACTATTGGGTGAACTCCCGTTGTGGTCAATATTATTAGGTGAAATACTGTCATAGTTGTGCATGGACAGCCTATTTTACTGTATGTAAAGAGACATTGTTTCTTCAGTGTTTGGTAATATTGATGACATAAAGACCCTGAGTATTCAAAAAAGCTGAAATGTGGAAAAGTGTGAGAAATAAAATGTAAAAAAAATAAAGCCTTCTGATTCTCTGGCAGATGAGCCATGCGGAGGAGACAAGTCCATATTCTGTCAGATGGAGGTTCTGGCTCGTTATTGCCCGATACCAGGTTACAACAAGCTCTGCTGTGAATCCTGCAGTAAGCGAAGTGGCACTTTTGCTCCTCTTCTGCACGAAGCTGCTAAGACGGAGGAGGAACTTCACTTTGGTTCAGCCTCCCAGCTTCTGGAGACACTCTCAGCCTCTGTAAATGGAACTCTGAAAGTCCCTCAGCAGCACCTGCGGGGATCCTCGTCACAAGGCCAATTTGCCAAGCAGACCGCCACTCCCCCGCCTCGCAAATCCAATACAGAGAACAGCAAGACTCAAAAGCGCCTGAAACCCGGTGCAAGGAATCTGCCTGCAATGACGATCCATAGCTTGTGGAACAAGGACGCCGCTAAAGATGCACCATGGCAGCTGGAAAGTTTCCAAGAGAGTCAGTGGCCGACAGCATCATCCGAGGTGGAGAGATGAAGGCTAGTTTGTCTCTTTCTTCCTCTGGACTCTCTCTTATTTGTTTGTTGTAGACATTAGACATAACATTCATCTTTCCCTTCACATCCTCCTCAATATATTTAAAAGCAAGAGAGAGTAAAGTGCTGGTTCACTTTCAAATATTCTCAATTCCCCCGCCAGCAGTATTTGTTTTTTAAAACACACTTGTCAATCACACACTGTTGTGATGGGGAACGTGCCAAAGAAGTTCTTATGATGATCCTCTCAGCAGTCTGGTCTATGGGGGTTTGGTGCGCCTACACGAAGAGACTCCAGTGGTACTCGTGAGGAAATGCTTGTAGTTGTATCAAACTTCACAATCTTTAAAGTATTATTTTTACCAGGTCCAAACATGTTTGACCAATTCATATTTATGAACGTTCCTGTAAATACTGTATAAGGGAAATGTCAGTATTATTTTATACATAATGAGGATTTTTAAAATAAGAGATTCAGGAGCATTATTGGTGCTTTTTATATTAAGAACACTTTAATAATATGTTAGGAAATCAGCCATGAGTTCAGCACTGAGGAATATATATTCCAAAACTGTGTGAGCCCCAGGAACAAACATCAGTGAAATTAAAATAGCCATAAAAGATCTACTTTTCATTCCAAAAGTATTTCATTCATGAATCAGCCTCTCAACAAGTCATCGATCAAATGAATTCTCAAAGACTGTGAAAACTGTCAGGTTTCTTGTTTTCCTCATTTCCCCATGATGTTGAGGATTTTCTTTGACACGTGCCTCTTAGATTTCCCTTATTTTGTGTAATGAGTTCACCTTTGCAGCCAGAAGTTTGTTTAGCCAACGACAACATTGAACGTAAACGTCATGTCAAGCAGCTTCACCATGATGTAGGAGACCCCGTCTTATATATTGTGAGATGAATTGGATATTTGAGCTGGGATTTGAAGGAGTAAAGCTGGACTTTCTGGAGATATTACACTGCACAAGATATCTCACTTGAGGGAGAGGAAAGCTATTTATTTTTATAATCAAGGATTATATCTCAACCACAATGCATCTGACTGCAATACCAAGGAAACCAGTTAGTCTATCAGTGGAGTACAGCTGTTCATAACTGTACACACACGTTCACCTGTGTGCCACTGTAAAGTTATTGTATATACCATTGAGAACTTTATTAAGATTCAACATCATGTTTTTTGTGCAACATTATCTGTTACTTCAGACCAAAAACACAGACTCCCATCAAGTAGTAAAAGTAGCTCAGAAACAAAAGTAGATGTATGAATAACCTTATTGTTGTTGTTTTAACTGCCTTTTTAGATCAAATAAGACACATGCTCAGCTTTTGAGATGTTATAATAAGGGAAAGCTGTTTCACAGCCATTTTAGAATATAAATATTGTAGAGAAAATCTTAAACAAAGCTGTCATTTACAGTAATTCATTTTGTCCTTTACCCACAAATCCCCTAATCCTGCACAAAACTGCTTTTACAGTTCATTTGTAGCTTTAACAGAAAAAATACAAAATTATAGTGATATATTTTGATCCTCTAGATTAGACAATAGCCATATCTGCATACAGATCAGTAGCAGTTGTCTTTGAACATCATACATCCGATGAAAGCTAAGGTGAACGGTGTGTGCATCACAAAAAAGCTTTCATTTTATCGTTGTTCACTTTCTGATAATAAACAATTTGTTGCTAATATTATCGACAAGCTTTCGGAGAGCCTAAGGAATGCAAGATAGTTGAAGTTAAATTGACAATCCCTAAGCCACAGACAGACACCCAACATAAAGGATAAAGCGTGTTTATCCTCACTATTCCAAGTGTTAATTGTTGTTCTGGCTTACAAAGACACTTTCAGTTGCTAACCGCTTGGGGTCATTTCTTTTTGTTTTAATTTGTACTTTTGTTAGTTGTAATGGAAGTGTACACTACTGAGGCTGTTTGTTGTATTGGGAGCACATAGCAATAAAGAAAGTAATAAATCCCATGCTGTCTCTTGAGTGTAATTTTTTAGGTTTGCTTTATTTATTTTCATTAAAGATGAACTTATATTTTCCCCTTTTCGCTACTAAGCCCTTACAAGACTCTTTACAGTAAAAAAAAAAAAAAAATCAGTTTTAAATCCTAAGCTTTAAAAAGAGGACTGAAAATATGTTTGGCAATGTGTTTAATAAATCTGTAACTGTATAAATCCTAAAATCAAATGTATGCTGGGATATGTGTGCTTCTGAATTTGTTTGGTTTGGGGTTTTTTGTTCGTTTGTTTTTAGTTTGCACCCTTGTTCTCTTCACAAAACCAAATGCACTGAAATTGGTCTTGATTGAAATTTCTTTTGTTCTCTCACAGTGGATGCTAACATAGAGTTTTTAGTTTAAGCCAATAATTTAGCTTAGGCCAAACATTTTCTTACAACATTAAATAGCTTCAGAGTGCTTCCCTGGTGCTGTATATGATGTTCACATAAAAGTATAATCTGGGCTGCCAACTCATTTTCCAGCTCACCATACCTTCAGGCTCAAAATTGTTAATATATTATGAAAGGCTCTAATTTCTTTAAAGGGGTCATTGGACGCCAATTTTCCACAAGTTGATATGATTCTTTAGGGTCTTAATGAAAAGTCTGTGTAGTTTGGTTAAAATTTCTAAATGGTAGTGTAAAACAACACCGTTTTTACCCCGTCAAAAACAGATCTTTTCAGAGCAAGCTGTTTTCTTGCATGCCGCTTTAAATGCAAATGAGCTCTGCTCGCCCCGCCCCTCACTTCCGAGCTGCTCTCTGAGAGACGGTAAACTTTAGCCGCATTCATCATGAAACCTGCTAACTAGCACGTTATTAGGAAAGGCGATTTGATTCGCACGAAGATAGACACATTTAGGTAGATCGGGGGCGCATTCCCTTCAGAAACAAATGTAATCCACTGCGTCTTCAGCGGCTCAGATGTCGGGAGTAAAGGACGACTGCTATGTTCATTATTACATCCAACAACAGAACACCTCAATCGCTTAGGAGACATTCGTGCCTACATCTGCTCCGGCGGTGAAGTAATGGTGGACTGATGACAGCTCACTCAGGGTGGGTCTAAGGTAAGACACCAGTCCAGTCTGTGCTGGCCCACCAGTGTAAATCAAACAATCGTGGGAGGGGCCTGTCTGTGTGACGTCATCTGAAATCAGCTAGATTTGAGAAAGGGGAAATGATTTAATGAGATAAAAAAAAACACTGGGTGGATCTTTATCAATATAGGGTGGTTGTGTACACACACTGCCGTAGGGCTGGGCAAAAAAATCGAATGCGATTTTCATGCGAATCTCGTCAGTATTTTACAGATTTTGTGTAGCTCGTCAGTGATCTACGGCTCTGTGTAGTAAATGCCGTTCCATCTGAAAGCACGTGCTAGAGATTTACTACTAATCACCAGAAGCGGCTTTACTGACGAGATGCGCATCACAGCCCTACACTGCCAACACACATTTCAGTTCAAACAGCTTAGCTAAGTGCATGTCGCATCCGATGACCCCTTTAAAGACCCATTCAGACTAATGTACCAAACATCAGGACATTCATTATTTTCTGAATGGTATTTAAAGATCACTAAGATCACAAATTACATAAAAGGACATTGTGACGAGTGGAGAGGGGCAGAGAGCCGTGGGAGCGGAGCGAGGATGTTGGAATAAATGAGCGACACCTGCGCCACTCGTCACAGACATTCTTAATAAAATCAGTATGAGTAAAATATTGCACAATCCACTGGACAATAGCAACCTCTAAAGCATTGTTCACCCAAAAATGTATTTTATTTTATTTTATTTAAATTGTGTTTACTCACCATCATGTCATTCCAAACCCTGAGGACTGGCTAATCTTCAAAACACAAATTAAATGAAACCTGAGAGGTTTCTGTTCCTCCATCAAAAGTCCAGGTAACCAAAATTTTAAAGATCCAAAAAGGTCATAAAGGCAGCGTAAAACAAATCTATTCTTTAAGTTAATTTTTTACTATTCTTTTTTTTTGTTTGCTTGTTTATAGCCTACAGTGCTTTTTTTAAATAATGTAAAAGATAGCAGATGAATGCAAGCAATTTATACTACACATTTTTTGAGTAGCTTGTCCAACACTGTTGTATGTTTGACAAGCTATTCTGCCTCTAGAACAGTGGTTCCCAACCCTGGTCCTGGAGGCACCCCAACACTGCACATTTTGCATGTCTCTTTTCTCTGACACACCAATTTCAGGTCTTGGAGTCTCTACTAATGAGCTGATGATCTGAATCAGGTGTGTTTGATTAAGGAGACATGCAAAACATGCAGTGTTGGGGTGCCTCCAGGACCAGGGTTGGGAACCACTGCTCTAGAAGACCATTTTTCAGAAGCTACCTAACCATGCTCTTGCTTTGACAACTCTTGATCAGGCCTCCCATCATAACTACTACTGCAGATTGGTTGATCTTCCCCAAATATTCAAACTTAGTGCATTTCATCTTCATTT